GGTCGTCTCAAAGTCAAAGTCTGCCTCTCCAGGGACGATGGTGGACTCGGAGTGGGCAGAGTAGGACAGGTGCCTGTTTGCCCTGTTGCTGCGCTGGCCTGCAGAATACTCGGCATCGGCAAAAATGGCATCGGGCGTGCGAAGCAACTCAGTTGCGTCGCCGTCCGTGTCGGGACGATATGGAGAACGAGCGTGGCCGAGGGCCATCTGTGGAATGGGAGAGAGAACGACGGGAGAGGCGGGGAGACGAGATAGGATGGCGGGGGTTGGTAGATGAGCCTGCGGCGCGGGCGCTGGAGGAGCTGGGGCCCGGCTATGTGGGTCGCGTGGCCTAGACATGTCACTCCCGAGGCGATGCTTGATGCTGATGCGACAAGGGGCGACGAACAGGACTCTGACGCTTGACGAGAGGGAGGGAGGACAGGGCGAGCATGCGCTGGGAGAAGAGCGAGTAGTAATATCGGACGGGGGGCGCCTGGAAGCTGCGCCCGGGGCTTGTGTGGGCAAAAAGTAACGGCATGTTCTCGTCGACACGAGTGCGGGAACGTCGTCTGCCACTGCCCGCCCTTCGATCGTTGTCTAATCTTAGTCCCGGCAGATCGCCTTCCGCTCTCGCCCGGCCAGCTCAGTCTGTGACCGGGTTTAACGTCATGTGATCTTTCTCAATACAACGCGTCTGCGCGCCTAGCGGCCGAGGCGATGTCCGGAGGCGGTGCCCGACCATGTATCACTTCGCTTCACTCGGCTCGCAATATCCCACAAGTCATCCGCTTCGATAGCATACCCCTCCGCGACCCACGGAGAAAGTCATCACATTAAATCCAAATATTTAATATCTCCTCCCAAATTCAATCCGCGACTATCTTTGACTCGACTCCCCGAGCGCCGCAAACCCAATTCAGTTGCACTCTGGCCCTGGGAAAATAGATGACGCACCGACAGCGGACCATCCGCCGTCGTCCATGGCTAGAGGTCCCTAGTGTCACCGCTGGCTTTACAAGCTTGCCGAATGCATGCCTCGCATCGCGGATGACCGTATAGTTCCCGCCCGCTACGCCCATATCCGCCCTCCGCCTAGCATTACCCGACGCGCCAAGACCCCAAGTGCCCATGGCACAGGCGGAATGCAGTCATGGATGCGGATCGTCCGTCGACGCCCGGTCAGCATTGCAATGACGGCGGGCCGCGTACCTCCAA